GCGTCGGGGGCTCCGGCTGTCGGCAACCCGCGGGGCCCCGGGGCCCGGCGGCCCGGTGCCTGCCGCGTCTTGGCTGGGGGGGGGGGGGGGGGACCAAGGGGCCGGCGCGGCGCGCGAGTCTAGCCCAGGGTCTTTTTCGCTGGCCTTCCCGCCCGTGGCGCGCACGCCCCGGGCCCCCGGTCGGCCCCGTGCGTCGGGGGCTCCGGCTGTCGGCAACCCGCGGGCCCCCGGGGGCCCGCGGCCCGGTGCCTCCCGCCTCTTGGCCGGGGGGGGGGGGGGGGGAAAAAAGACCGGACACGTTTGAAACTCCGGACATTTGGGCCGGCGTCCCGCCATGGGGGCCCGCAGGTCGGGAGCGCGGCGCGCCGGCGCACATTTCCCGTGCTGATCGGGCGGCGGCCCGGCGTGATCGGCCAGCGGTGTGACCCCGGCGCCCGGCAGGCCGCCTGGCCGGGGCATGCCCCGGCCTCGCGGACTAGCCCGAAATGGGAAAGGCGATGCCCACCCCGGGCCGCCCCCCCCCCCCAACCATGTTCCCCGCCTGGTGCGGCGGGAGAACGAGCGAGAACCCCGGGACGGGCGGCAATTTTGAACCGCCCGGCATGCCGGGCCGGCGCCCCCTGGCCCCAGGCCGCGGGCCTGCGCGGAGACGGCGCCCTGCCGCGTCGGCTGGGCCGGCCGGGCGGCTCGCGCACCCCGCACCCTTAGACGGCCGCTCGCCCGGACCGGAGGGCGGGCAGGAGCACACACACACACACACACACACACACACACACACACACAGCCGGGAGAGTAATGGGTCCCCGGCGTCCGGTGCCGGAGTGCCTCACCGGCCGAGCCACATTATATCCCCTCGACCACACGCCCCCGCCTGCCCTCATGCTCACCTTCTGCCGCATGAGCTTGGCTGCTCGCCTCCTGGACCTGCGCCTTGCCTGTGAATTCGGCGGCTCCCTCCGCTCTCCTGATCGTTGGCCCCGCGCCGCCGGCTGCCCGGCGTCCTGAATGCGCAAGTGCCCCGTCCGCGCCCCTCCCCTCCCGCTCCTCCGAAGCCCGCTCCTCCCGAAGAGGCCTCCGCGACCGGGCGCCCACCGAGAGCACGGCCCGGGCCGCGCAAGCCCCCTCACACCTCGCCATGACGCGCGACGATGCTCCCTTGCGCCAGCCGCCCCCTGGATCGCAACACATGCCTAACACCTCCCTGGCCCGTGCCCAGGCCGAGGTCGAGCCCGGCGAATTGCTGGGGGACTTGGTCCATCAACTAATCACACTCGGCGAGTCCTATGGCAATGCCCACGAGACCCAAGCATCATTCATCAACCGTGCCCACCAGGCTTCCCAGGAGGCCTTTTCCGCGGTCGAGCCCATGCTCAAGCCTACGCCCGGTGCTCAAACCACCCTGGCCGCCCCCCTCACGGACATTCCGGAAGCCCTTGCTCGTGCGGTCGAAGCCCACGTCACCGTCGTCAAGAGTGTCCTCCATAGCATCTGGGCTGCTGGCACTGTCATGGCCCTCCTGACGAACCTCCTCGACACGGCCACTACCCATGTTTCGGCGGTTATGGCTGCGATTGACAATGCCAATGCCGACCTCCATTCGATGCCTGGGCGTGCCATGCACACGGCGGCCCCCGCCCATGCGAGGGCCTCCCATGCGGTTGGGGCATTGAAGCACTGCCTGTCGCATGGGCGTCAGCCGCTGGTGTCGGCCGCCAAGAACGCCAAAAAATATGTCTCCAGGCTGGCCTCCCTCACCGAGTCGCTTCAGGCACTATGTCAGAATGCCCCCTGTGATGGGCGACTTGACAAGTCAACTTTGGCGGAGCTCGCCGCTGCTCAAGAGAAGGCTTCCGACGAATGCCGCTCGACCTTCCGGTCAATCCTCGAGAACACCCAGAAACACGTCGCCCACTGCCTGTGCATGCTCATATCCATTTGTGAGGTGCAAAAGACCACCCCGGCTGCCTTGCGCCCGGGCCTGCCTGGCGACCTCCTTGAGAGCATTGAGCAAGCGCGAGCTTTGGCCCTCCAACTGCATCACTCCATCACGCAGGTGGGCGGCGATTGGCTCCTGGACACTTCGCCGCCTGGCAATCACCCGGCCAGCCTCCAGCCAGCTGCTCTTGGCCTCTTGGCAGCTTACTCGGCCCCGGCATTGGGCGATAGCTCGCTGGAGCTGGTGCCCGGCGCCCGGCCCCCCGCCGGCGAGGGCTATGCTCTACCATCTGCCGAGCAGATGCCACATGCCATGGTGCAAGTTGCCCCCGGCCATCTTCAGGCCCAGTGTTTGCTCTACTCCGCCACCAGGACCCTTGGCATTTCCCTTCGGCACATCAGAGCCACCCATGATCGAGCGCTCGCCATCCTGAACCGGCCCTCGGACATCGGGCCCGAGGCGCCTGCTGCCACTTTGCCGGCGCCCCCAGCCCTGGCCAACGCCCCGGTGGCCTGTCCCACCGCCACCGGCCAAGCTGCTCCTACTCCCCACCGCCACTCCGATGCATCCATCGGGGGCCGTCGGCACGGGCGCCACAGTGCACACACCGGCCTCAGCGACCATCCTGGTGATGATGATGACGGTGACGATGATGACGATGATAACGATGATGATGATGCTGATGATGCCAGTCATGATGAAGAGTTGGCCCACGACTTCGGGGCCGAAACATCTTCCCGTCGACGAGGCAGCTGCTCTGTCATCGCCAAAAAGGAGGACACCATTTGGCAAAGAATCAACGATCTTCTTGCCAAAACCACGGGCCTTGTCATGACCGCCACGCAGTTCTTCATCGCCGCCAGGAACACCCTGTCTCTCGCGGAGGGGCTCTTCTCCTACCTCGTTGGGCTTATTCCAGACAATAAGCCCGAGTGAATGGCTTGTCCCATGATCCGCCGGCGATCGGGACCCATTTGTTGGGTCGCACTTGAGTCGAGAGGTTCCTTTGTGATGGCCCGGCCTGCCCGCTGGAGGAGCGTTGCCTTGGGGTTTCGACTTGGCCGATTCACACGCATGCACACCCGGCTCCCGTGTGGCATGCTCCTCGCCAAGGCCCAGATGCGTGTCTGATCCCCACCCTCGTTCGGAGGATGACCACGGCGCCCGGACACACTGGCGCCGATGGGGCGCCCTTCGGCGCTTCCATCCTACCCAGTCCCCGTGGGGCATTCGGCCGGGGAGGTCTGCTGCCGTTCCCCCCTGCCTAGTGACCTAGAGAGGTCCGCCCTTCGCGTGGCCCTTCGGCCCAAGATGATCCGAATGACAAATACACCCATGCCCTTGCTGGCGCCTACTCGCCAGGACAACCAGAGAATGCCCAGTTGCAGGTTGGGCGCTGGCCTTGTCGAGTGCCAGGAACATTCCCCCACCGGGCGAGGCCCGACGCCGGCGGCGCGCCCCTCGTCGCCTGGCGGCGTGCAGCTGACACATGACAACTGACACACATGTGAGGGGAGGAGGAGAGGGCGGGCGGTGCTCTGCCTCAGTCGGCGGCATGGCCCAACCGACGGGGCGGTGGGATTGGCCCCGACATCGGGAGCCGCTGGCCCCTCCTCCGCGTTGAGGGCTTTCCAGCTGGCCGATCGGTCGCGCGTGCCGGGGCCTCTGCGCATGTGTGATTCTCTCGCGCCCGGGGGGGGGACCGGTGCCCAGACCTGCCGCGAAAACAGACAGCCCGCACGGCATCCATCGGCACCTTGCCCATGGCCGGCCGCGAGGGAGTGGGCCTGGCGCCCGGTTCTCCGGGGGGGCGGGGGGCGGGAAGCATGCGCGCAGAGACCAGGCCGGAAGGCAAAGCCCCCAGGCAATCAGATGGAACAAGCACAGGCATCTATTGTTTGGGGGAAAGGAAGCGGAGCGGGAGAAGGAGCAGAGGGCCGGCCTGGTCGGGGGCTTACCACGAGGCAGTGACAACCGCGCCGCCGGCTGCGAAGCCCCGGTAGAAGTCCATCATGGCGGGGGAGATGCGCGGCCGGACGGTGGCCAGCGCCCGATCAAAGTGCTCCCGGCGGATGGACTCCTTGGCCGGGGCATCGGCCGCGGCAATGGCATCGTTGAGGGCCGCGAGGGCCGCCTCGCGACAGACGGCCACCGTTTCGGCGCCCGAGTAGCCCTCGAGCTTGGTAGCAGCGGCCGAGCGATTGTCGGTTTTTGTGTGTGTGTGTGTGTGTGTGTGTGTGTGTGTGTGTGTGTGTGTGTGTGTGTGTGTGCGTGCGGGCGGGTGGGCGTGTCAGAACCGGAGGGGGCGGCAGGAGGCGCAGAAAGGGCAACGGAAAGAGGAGGGCGGCCGAAGCCGGGGGCATGGGCCAAATGTGCGCGCATGTGCATACCCGCGTGGCGAGGTCGTCCAGGTCCATCTGCTCGTCATGCGGCACGTCACGCAAGCGCCGCTGGAGGATGGCCACTCGGGCCGGGTGGTCCGGCAAATCGATGAGGAACTTGCGGTCCAGCCGCCCGGGGCGCATGAGGGCCGGGTCCTGCGTGGCAAATCCGGGGGAAACAGCCGGTCAGCAATGCTCCTGACCCTGGGCCAGCATGCGTTGGCGCGGGGCGCGAAAGGGGGCGCAGGAGGGAGTGTGGAAGGGGACCGGCACGCACGATGATGTCCGGCCGGTTGGTGGCCGCGACGATGGTCACCCCGTCGAGGCCTTCAATGCCGTCGCTGCAGGGGAGGGGGGGGGGGAAGACAGGTTGTCAGACGTGAGCGGGGAAGAGACCCGGGAAGAGAGACGCGAAGAGCAAGCCCGGCGTACATCTCGGAGAGAAGCTGGCTCACGACGCGGTCCGAAACGGAGGACTCGCCGGAGGAGGACCCACGCTTGGAGGCGATGGCGTCCACCTCGTCCTGGACCGGGGGGAAGGGGGGGGGGGGGGGGGTCAGGGGACATGCTCGAGCAGGCTGCAAGGGGCGTGCGGAAGCTGCGCGTACAAGGAAGATGATGGCCGGAGAGGCGCCGCGCGCCCGGCGGAAGATCTCGCGCACGGCGCGCTCCGACTCTCCAACCCACTTGTTGAAGATCTATGTGCGGGGGGGGGGGGTCATGATCGTCAGCGACAGCCCCTGAGGTCGGGGCATATGGAAGGAGCCAGGAGACAGGGGGGGAAAAAAAGGCAGACCCACCTCCGGACCCTTGATGGCGATGAAGTTGACGCCGGATTCGGTGGCCAGGGCACGCGCGAGCAGGGTCTTGCTGCAGCCGGGCGGACCATACAGCAGGATGCCACGCGGCGGGCGGATGCCCAGCCGGCGGAAAGCCTCCGGGTTCTACGGCGGCCAGCGGGCCCACCGAAGGGCGAGCGGGAGAAGACGTCAGAAGATCCGGACAGGTGGGGAGAGGAAAAAAAAAGGCACAACCCGACGGGCGCCCGACGCGCCCGACGCGCGCACCTTCAACGGCCACTCGATGGCCTCGCGCAGGCGCTGCTTGGCGTCCTCCTGGCCGCCGATGTCCCGCCAGTAGACCCGCGCCGACTCGTCCAGCGACAGGGCCACCGACCGCAGGGAGCTGGGCTTGACCCGCTGCAGGGCCAGCTGGAAGTCCCCCAGCTCCAGGCACAGCTCGGCCACCTGGTCGGCGGCCGGGACATCGGCCGCCTGGACAAACCGCCCGACCGCCGACAGGCCGGCCTCCTCCACGAGGAGGGCCATGTCGGCCCCGACGAAGCCGTGGCACTTGTCGGCCACCGCCAGCAGGTCCTCCTCGGCCAGCCGGTGCCGGGTCCGGGCCAGGGCCTTGCGCAGGATGTCCCCCCGGGCCGCGGCATCCGGCGCGCCGATGCTCAGCTCCCGGTCAAAGCGCCCGGGCCGGCGCAGGGCCGGGTCCAGCGAGTCCGGCCGATTGGTGGCCGCGATGACCACCACCCCGTCGTGCTGGCTCTCCACGCCGTCCATCAGGGTCAGCAGCGCGGCGACCATGCGCTTTTCGGCCTCGCTCTCGGACTGGCCGGTGCCAATGGCCACCGGGTGGGCCCCGGAGGGCGGTTGCCCGGGGGATTCGGACGCGAAGGGGGGAGCAGGGCCGGAGGGGGTGGGTGTGAGAGGGGCGGGGGGGGGCGGGGGAGAGAGAGGGGAGAGAGAGAGCAGCAGCAGCAGCAGCAGCAACAGCAGGAGAAGGAGAAGTAAAACACAACTCGGAGGCAATGGCACGCACGTCATCACGCCGCTGGCAAATGGCGTCGATTTCGTCCAGGAAAATGATGCACGGTGCCCGACGGGCCGCCTCGTCGAAGAGGGCTTTCAGCTGCGGAGCACCAGCCGCCGGGAAGGGAAGGCATGCACACACACACGCACACACACACACACACA